CAAGAGGGAGCTCAAGAAAGAACAGAAGAAGGAATCGATTTTAAATTACAGATCATTATGACACGCAGGGAAAGAACGGGGAGAAATAATCCAACCAGCATAAATGAATCAGGGAAGCTGAGAAAGAAGGCCGTTCAAGGACATGGTGGTCGGCAACGTTGAACACCACAGAAAGGCCAGGTAGGAAGAAGACTAGACAGATGCCATCACAGGTGACAATTAGGAGCCACCAGGCCCCTTAGGAAAGCTTGTTTTAAAGATGCAGAAACTGGTTGAAGGAATGCAGCGGCGCTATGATTCCACTTTTCCGAAGAGTTGGAGCATCAAGGAGAAGGTTATAAATGGGAGGGCGGGAAAAGGTATGGACATTTTTCGCTTTTGTTATTTTTAGCGTGGCAAGAGATGAAGGCTTTGTGGATTCGGAGAAGCAGCCGGTGCATGGGAAGATTGAATACAGGTAAACGTTTATGATTTAAACAACCAAAGGAGTAATGACCGTTTGCGTTCCAGATGGAACTCGCGAGGTACAGACGGAAACTCTTCGGGCAGTGGCACCCCTGAAATACCGCCGAGGGGTCACACCACACCCCCCTTGTCTGAACAGACAGTGGGGCTGTTGGGGTGTCCCCAGGGAGGAGGCGCCGTTTGAGGGCTTTGATTGCCGGCAAAGCCTACGAGGTGCAGTGACACAGACCTGGGTACCAACCCCGGTCCTGCCCATGGGGACATCACCTCTGAGCCTCAGTTTCCTCCTGGGGAAAGTGAGGATGACCAAATCTACTTTCAAGGGGGTGTGGTGAGGCTGGATGGCATCACATGTATGACAGTCCCCAAAACGTGGCCTCAGATGTGGCGAGAAAATTCTAGGTTCCTTATTTTCACACTCGTTCCCAAGAAAATGTTCCCAACAAGGAGATTGCTTCCTTCTCAGAAGTTGCTGGCAGCCCCGATCGTGTCTGCTGGTCTCCACCTACCTGGGTCAGCGTCTGGGCTCCTTCCAGCTGGGACAGGGTGCGTCTGTGCCCTGCAGTTTGCTGGGTGTTCAGTGCAGGGCCAGGCAGCTGGAGCTGAGGAGCTCCCTCATTGCATGGGCTTAAGGGAGGGAGTCACTTAGACCAGGCGCAAGAAAAACAGTTTCCCATTATCAGATCCCTGGCCTGCCCCCTTTCTTGGAAAGCTCTCCCTGGTGAGTCAGCCCGCTGGCCTGCCCCGACCTCCCACCAGGCGCCCAGCGGCAATGACCTTGGCGTGGGCCCTGCAGACACTTTCTCTGCCTGCACCGGGTTCCTGGGGCCCAGCCCTACTTAGCAGATCTGAACCTTACTTTTCCTCATTGAAACACCATCCTGATGGTTTTAGGAATCTTGCTTTTTTACCTTTGCTTTAAGGACAAGGTCTCTACAATTTTTCCTATTAAAGAGTTGGACTTTGGGTCATCCAGGAAATTTCGGCTCGGGCCAGGGACAAGGGGAGATTGGAGCGTCCAGGGTGCTGGGAGTGTGGGAGGCTGACCAGGAGGGGAGGCTGGCAGCCGGCCCTCTGCTGCTCTGGGAGTCGCCTGAGCCCTGCGTAGCTCCTGGCCAGTGCTTTGGACGTGGAAGGTGCTTGGGTGATGTTGGATGAGCAAGTGAATCCGTGGGGGTATGAATGAATAGATTGGGGGTGTTTATTCAAGCAAAGCACGTGGAGGAGCAATGGAAGTGGGCTTGGAAAGAGATGTGCTGGCAGGTCACAGTGTCAGGACAGGGCAGGGTATGTATGTTTCCGTGCGTGCCTGTCTTAGTCTATTTCACGTTGCTATAACGGAAATAGCTGAGGCTGGGACATTTATAAAGAAAAGAGGCTTATTTGGCTCATGAGACTGCAGGCTGTATAAGAAGCATGGCGCCTGGACCTGCTTCTAGGGAGGGTGTCGGGAAGTTTTAAATCAAGGCTGAAGGCGAAGGGAGAGCAGGTGTGTCACATGGTGACAGAAGGAGCAAGTGGGGGGGGGGGTGCCGGGCCCTTTTAAACAACCAGCTCTCACGTGAACTCATCGCACAAGAGCTCACCCATTAACACGGGAGGGCACCCGGCCATTCATGAGGGACCCAAACACCTCCCACCAGGCCAGGCCACGCCTCCAACATCGGGGCCAAATTTCAGCGTCAGACTTGGAGGGGACAGACATTTGAGCCATGCCGGCACCCAGTGCTCACCAGCCTTGGAAGCCGGCATGTCCAGCCTCGTGGAATTCCAGATGCCTGTGTCGCTGTTGTTCCACGCCCACTGGCACCATACGGGAAGGGTGGCTTTTAGAATATTGAGAAAATCATTCCTAGAGAGACTTCCTGCAGGGCCTGACTCTGGCTTGGAGAGGCCAAGTGGAGAATTATCTTAGCAAAATCACCCATCAGGCTTGCTCGGTTGGGGAGGGTGAGCCCAGCTTTCCAAACTTGGCATCGAGAACCAGGGCATCCTGGTGACATTCTCTGGGAGTCTGTGGAATTGGCCGTGGCAAAGTTTGAATGGAGTAAGTGTGGTGTTAAGTGAAAAGGCCGTTGTGATTCGTTTCTGGGTTGTGGTTTGTTTTTCTTGGGGCACTCCGGGCTCCGCTCAAGGGGCGGGGCTGCATGCTTGGTGGCTGGATCGGTGGTGGCCACCAGAGAGCCGTGTCTTGCAGCCAAGAGTGTCGCCAGTGGGCGTTGGGCAGTGGGCAGCAGGGAACTACTCCCAGAGCTCAGGAGGAGCCTCCAAACTGCCTCCAGCAGGCTTCTTGGGCGCTCGGCACCATTAGGGCAGCCAGGGTCCTTGATGTTGGGAAATTCACCTCTGATTTTATTTTTCTGTAGCCTGGAACAATTGAGATTTTCCAGAAGTAGCCTAGAAAACCTTACATCCTGGTGGAAGGAACAGGGCCCACTTTCCTTGTCCCTCCCTCCCAGACTCTTAGGAATATGTCACCTTCAAGGAAATAGAGACATTCCTCAGGCCTCCTCACCTTGACTTTCTCAGCTGCCAGTTCATCCTCTTGGTTTAGCAATGTTTTCACGGTTATGAGTCACTTTAACACTAACACGTAGCAGCTTGACTGGGGAGTGCAAAAGCATGCCAACAAATGCATGTAGAAAGGTCTTCAGGTTACCTGGGGGAAATGTCAGTAGACCCAAAGGCCTTCATCTTCAGGGTAGCTGGGTCTTGGGGACCCTCAATTCTCCTCCCCAGAGCCATTTGTATAGTAGTGTGAATCTCTAGGCTCTGTGGGTCTTGATAAGAAAGATCAGGAGTCCCCCTGTTTCCCAAGCAATCTGGAGGTGAGGGGCCCTGCCCTACTCAGGAGGTATTGCCTGGAGAGACAGAGAGAGGGAGAGACAGAGAGGGGTGCGGGAGAGAGACATTGATTGATGGGGAAGAGTCAGGCATGTGTGCAAATGGGAAAATCATTTGTAACATTGAAACCAATGCCTATTTCTACAGCACCTAGAGTATGGAATTTACTCTCAGCCCCCACTGTGGGGAAGCTCCCAATCAAGGGAAGTGGGAGAAGGCTTATTTGAAAGAGACACCGAAGAAGATCAGGAAGTCCTTCAGTGCTGTTGTCTACACCCTGGGCTCCATATAATGGGGCTACTTTGTAACCAGTCTCCTTAGACCTTTAGTAATGAAGCTTCCCTCAGTGGCAACAGGAGAACCTGTATCATAGTAAGTTCTACTTTACAACAAATAGCATCTGAGCAGGATTCTAGGGCAGGGACTTAGAATTGTTAGCTAAGCATGCCAAGACTCCTTGAACAGTTACATGTGCAGAGCACTGGGTTAAATACAGTAAGGAATGTAGAAATGGAAAACGTGGAACCCCATCTTCCAGGAGACCCAGACTGGTAAGAGAGTGAAACCTACACGTAAGTAACCCGAGCAGAGTCGTTAAGACCAAGACCCAGGCCCGAGCAGCATCCTACAGAAGTGTGGAGGGATCGGTCCCAATTTGGGAGACCCGGTAAGGCTTATTACAGGAAATACAATCTGAACAGGACTCTCAAAGACTCTCACCAGAGTCAGAGTGGGGATTAGGGTAAGATAAGGGGCCACTTGACTAGTCTACAACATGTCAAGGAGCCAAAAAACTCAGTAAGCAAGATAAATAATATATATATTTTTTTTTTTTTTTTTTTTTGAGACAGAGTCTCACTTTGTTGCCCGGGCTAGAGTGAGTGCCGTGGCGTCAGCCTAGCTCACAGCAACCTCAATCTCCTGGGCTCGAGTGATCCTTCTGCCTCAGCCTCCCGGGTAGCTGGGACTACAGGCATGCGCCACCATGCCCGGCTAATTTTTTATATATATATCAGTTGGCCAATTAATTCCTTTCTATTTATAGTAGAGACGGGGTCTCGCTCAGGCTGGTTTTGAACTCCTGACCTTGAGCAATCCGCCCGCCTCGGCCTCCCAAGAGCTAGGATTACAGGCGTGAGCCACAGCGCCCGGCCTAGATAAATAATATTTTAATGAAATATTTCTAAAATAGAAATAAATGCAAAAAAAAACCCTCCATGATGAACAGAACATCAAAATTTCAACAAAGATAGGATGGTGTTTTTATTTCATCATTCGGCACCATTGTACAAGGGAACAGTCCTTTTCAATCAGCCCCTGGTTCCTAGTCCCTACCAGGAACATTTATGAGGGTTGACAGTGATGTGAGAACAGATTGGGCAACATAGAGCTTTATATATATATATATATATATATATATATATATATTTTTTTTTTTTTTTTTTTTAAGAGATGAGGGTCTCACTCTGTCACCTAGGCTGGAGTGCAGTGGTGCAATCACAGCTCACTGCAGCCTCAAGCTCAAGGGATTCTCCTGTCTCAGCTTCTGAATAGCTGGGACTACAGGCATGTGCCAGCGCACCCAGCTAATTGTTATTTATTTATTTATTTTGTAGAGATGGGATCTCGCTGTGTTGTTGCACAGGCTGGACTTGAACTCCTGGCCTCAAGCAATCCTCCCACCTGGGCCTCCCAATGTGCTGGGAATACACAGGTGTGAGCCACTACACCCAGCCTATAGTCATTTTTTAAAAAATGATAGAACTGTTATTAACTTTTACATCTGATTCCAAATATGAGAGCATATTTTGATAAGTATATACGGGGGTGTTTGTCTTTCCTTTTGCCTGGACTCCAGCCTGGCTCAACACAGCACTGGCTAAACTGGTGACAAGGGAAGGACACGTGGAAGGAGAACATCTGGAGCACAGGTAGGAGACATCAAATCATGTTCAGACCCAGGGGGGTTGAGTCACATGCTTGGGAAGCTGTAATAAGAGAGAAGCCAAAGCATTTAGATGAGGGGAAACTGTGGAGGGCGTTGGGTACCGTGCTGAAGATGTTTGGAGTTAATAATGGAAGTGCTCCAGGGAGCACGGAATGTTTCTCAAGGATTCTGGATACAGACACTCGTGGCCAAGCCCCCTATGGGCAGTGGGGAGCAGCAGCTGGAGAGGGTGGGGCAGGAAACAGAGTCACAGGAGGGCACAGCCACTGCCATTGCACAAGAAGGACAGGAGGGCCCTTCCCCCCAGGTGAAGGGTCTCAGGATGCGTAGGCTGTGCTGTCCAGAACGTAAGTACAGAGAAGCTTCTTCAGCTGCTTCATCAATAATCCAGGAAGGCTTTGCAGAGTGCTTCCTACAGATAACAAGCCCAGATCCACTGGAGGAAAGGAAATGCACTGTGACCCTCTTCCCAGTGAGGACAGAGCAGCCCCGCTGGGTTAAGTATCCTGTGTGACAATCAAACACTCTTATCTTCATCGGCTGCTGTGAGCGCTGGGCCACCTGAGTTTCTAAGTGGAGGTGCAGTGAGTTCCCAAGAAGCCAGTCCTTCCCTTGTCTGCTGTTATTGCAACGGTGTTGCGATACGTTTCAGAGAAAGAATGGACACCCCGTCTAGGATGGAGGGGAGCAGTGGGAAAGCAGCCCCCCAAAACATTTTGGGGCCTTTTTTTTCTTTCCCAAGTAGTAATGGACGTGCTACGAAAAGACAGAGCTTTAGCAAAATGTAAATCAATTAGGGAAGAGAACTTATTTTGTAAAATGCACATGTCATTAAACTTCACTAATTCTGGTTTAACTTTCTGGGAAATCACAGTGGTTCGGATAAAGGGGGAGCTGGCACTTACTTACCTTTGTGATTATAAAGGGCTCTTACCATGAAGAAATAACATAAACACGATGGCAGGTTGGAGATTTGAACTACTTCAGAGGGATGAAAAACAATTTTAAAGCATTGTCCAGAGTAAGGAAAACCCATTAACACCTACCTACTAAGGGAATCAATCCATAATTTCAATTTGTACGTGGAAGTCTCAAAAGGAGTTCTCTCAAACAGTATCTTTAGGAAACATTACCGCAGTTAGAATACAATCCTAAAGATAGAAAGCTGGACCTCTTCTTGAATTATTTGCAAAAAGCATCCGTTCACAAACGTAGACAGACCTTTCCTCAAGTGGCCTGAAATGCTGAATTGAATTTGAATGAGACCAATCCATATTTGAGTGTCAATTTCCATCAAGGATGCTAAGGTGTGCACGGCCTTGCTCTCTGGGTTGGGGTGGAGCTATCCTGTTGGGAAGAGAGGGAATAAAAGAAGAGAAAAAGAAGTTACTCAGCAAAACACTTGAAATATTGTCTGCCTTAGCTCAGGCTGCCATAAGAAAACATTGTAGACTGGATGGATCACACGACAGACATGTGTTTCTTACAGTCCTGGAGGCTGGAGGCTTAGATCAAGGTACCAGCATGGTTGGTTCCTGGTGATGCCCCTTTTCTAGCTTGTAGGTGGCTGCTGTCACCCCACTTGTGCATGTGGCCTTTCTTCAGTGCCTGCTCCTGAAGAGAGAGAGAGAGAATAAGCTCTCTGGTGTCTTTTCTTACAAGGACAATAAGCCCACCAGACCCAGGTCTCATCCCATAATCTTATTTAATCCTAAGGACCTTGCAAAGGCCCCATCTCCAAATATTGTCCTATTGGGGGTTAGGGCTTCAACATATAAATTGGAGGCAGGGACAGGAATCATTCAGCCCATAACATTAGCAAAGATTACAACTGTGGAAGGCTGGCTGCAGTGAGAAATACAGGACATTTCTGAAAGAGTTTAAAGGAAGAAGAGAGATGGCTTTGGGCGTGGGAAGGCACTGTGGATGCCATCAAGTTTGAACTGTGCTCCCCAGAAGGAGCTGGGACTCACATGAGCAAAGAAGCTTGAGAACACATCTCAGGAAAGACAGAAGCAGATAATCAAGCAAAGCACAGCTGTCCTGGGGTTGTTTGGCCATGGCCATGGCAGGGGAAGGATGGCAGGGTGGAGGGCAAGAGCAGTGGGACAGAAGGTACAGGTACAAGGACAGAAGTGTCATGTTGAACAGAAACGGGAGCTCAGGAGGGACAGGCGAGCTGGGCTTGGGTTAAAAGGAACCTCAAAGGCCAGATGGGGGCAGCTGGCTTCCAGCTCATCGGTAGGAGGGAAGGGATCGTGGTCACCTGGGACAACGGTTTGGGCAGGGCCACACATCGTAGATGAAGGGGGCGGCAGGGCAGGCAGACGGGCTGGCAAGGAGACTGCAGCCGTGTCCAGACCTGAGCCAGCCACTGCCTGGACCCGGGTCTTGGCTCCTGCCATCACTCTTGCCAGACTGTCGCCGGCGAATCCTGGCTTCGTTTCCACCCCCCCCCCCCCCCAGAGTCGAGGGCGTTGCACAATCTGGCGGAGTGTGCAGAAGTCCAAGAGACTCTTTCAAAATCCTTAGTTTCGTTTGGACTAAGGAAATCAGAGAACAACGGGAATTCCAAGAAGCCGGGAGCTCAGGGAGACCATGAGCACATACCTCAAGGCGTTAGAGACCTCAGTTAGGCGGAGCTGTGAGTGCATTAGCGCCAGCGGTTGCTAGCTGACGGCTTGCAAAAGCGCTCACTGGTGAAAATCTCTTTTCTCCTGACGATGAGGAAGCATGAAGACTCCTAGCCCCGCAGTGCCCTCTCCCCTACACACGGGGAAGCGAGCTAGAGAAAGCAGAGGGAATTGAGCTGATTTTGCAAGACTCCCTTTTCCACTAAAAAATCAAAACAACGCTCACGTTCTATCCAAACAGGATATCACCGGATAGTTTCTCTGCAAATCATTTCACAATCCCCATTGCTGGGCCAAACTTGATCCCCAGCTATATGACTGCGCCTCCCCTGAGAGCCCTGGTAAAGGAATTTCATTATATTTGGCAAAGAAAGCTAGAGACACATCCTTTTAGGTGAAAGAGAAGAGAACCCGATAAAAATCGTAGCAGCCAGACTCCCCACATTGTCCATGAGCCCAGATCATGAGAAAATCCACTCCAAGAACAAGCAGTGTCTGCCTTGATTTTTTTCCTACCAGAGTCTGTTATTCCGGTGCCCTAGGTGTGACAAAGATGTGATGGGCCTTCATGGTGAAGCTGATGGTTGCTGGAGTGTGGTCCCGCTCAAGGTAGCCTTGTCCTGCAGGAAGCCGGCCAACAAGCCATCGGTCCCCAAATTAGGGTACTACAGACAGCAACCATTGGCCCAGGGTCCACGCCTAATCAATGTGAGCCAATGTCATTGTCATCGTCACGGTTGCCATCGTGGTTGTTGCGAGCTGGTAAGGTCTCGGGTGCTCTGGTCACACACACACACGTTCCACTGGGCAATGTTCACATCTGCACACACTTCCTCCCAGTTAGAGACTCTCTCTGAGTTTGACTCTTACTCAATTCTACCACCATTTGTTAAGAAATCAAAATTTGGATTTATTTATGGTTTGTCCTTCAACAAAAAAATGTGTCTGTAGATACTGTTCCTATCCGAGGACTCCAGAATGAGAGGATGGATTTGAGTTTTCTAAACCTTGGATGGAGGTGCCCATGAGCAGAGAAACAGCTGAATCGGTAGTGAAAAGAGGGGGTGCTTGTAGGCTTCACCCCAGTGTCTGCTGTCTGCAGTAGAACTAATAGGGAAACCACATAGTTTAATATTGAGAGCAAAAATAGTGCTGTAAATAATTAGCAGGCACTAGTGCTCTGGAGTAGGTGTACACTGCGTCAGTTTGCTGCAAAGCAGGACATGTCACCCTGTCTATAAAAGGATGCTCATGCGGGGCTGGCTCTCTCTAGTGCAAATGTCCCGAACTGCCGGGTGGGGGCAGCCAGTGCCTCGGATGCCAGGCAACTTCTCCCAGGAGCCCCGTGAGCATCCGAGCAGATGGACAGAGCAACCCCCTTCCCTCCTCTGTGCAGCCTTTGCTCCCTGCTGGGGAAGGCCCGGCCCCATGGGTGAGGCCACCCCGTCAGATTGTGCAAGGCCATTTCCACGGCCCCTCCCGCCCTACGCCCGGCCCTCGCCCACTCAGTTCCTGCTGCTGTGCTTGGGGCTGGGGATGGGGCCAGTCCCATGCGTGAGATGCCTTCTGCCCTGCAGTGATAGAAGGTGCCAGAAGAATGATAGAAGGTGATAGAAGAGCCCTGCAGCAACCCATTCCTCTGCCCCACCAAATAACCCACCCCACCCCACCCCCACACACACACTCCCATTTGCCAATCTTTGAAATTCCTTAGCAGAGGATAAAGCTTTTGTCCAGGAAACAGAGCTGCTGGGAGGCAATGGAGAAAACAAAAAAACAAACAATGAATTTCAAAGAATTGGATTTTTGTCTTAGCTGCCAGTTTTGCCGTGTGCCACTTGCCCTTGTGAGAGACACTTAACTCTTAGCAACAGGCTTCGCTTGCCTAAAAGAGGGGCAGGAAAACTTGCTGTGGATGTCCCAGGCGCTGCTCTGGTGGTTGAACGCACGGGCAGGCGCACGGGCAGCTCTTATGTGCACATGAGGAGGCTTCACTGTCACAAGGGCAATGATCAAATGGTGATCAAACTCCTGGGACAGGGACTACGCTGAGGTCTAAAACCTGATGCCATCAGCCAATCCCACGGGATGGAGAATTGGATGCTGGCTACTGCACTTAGGGAGGTAGCTGGAAACATAAGTTAGAAATAATAATTAAAAAAAGGCTTTGAAATGTTTTTAGATGGTGAAAACAGTATTTGTATATTTCATAGGTGTCACTTCTAGTTCCTCTGCAGATAAGAAAGTGAGGCCCGGAGAAATGCCAGGAGTCTCCTGATCACCCAATTAGTTAGTCCCAGGATTGAGACCAGAGTGTGTGTCTCAAGCAACAATAACGACAGTGGCAAAATGACCTCTACCCTCAGAAGATAGGCAAAGGACAAACACGTAAAATACTTTTAGGAGGAATTTTCTGTACACTTGTAAGATGCTGTCAGAAAAATGAGGACCTTATATTTCTGTAATCTTCTCCAGTTTGTAATGTGCATCTCCTCTTCTGTTATCTCACATTTCCAAATTTATCTGATGATGGGAATTAACCAATTCTAGCTGGGCATGGTGGCTCACACCTGTAATCCCACTGCTTTAGGAGGCCGAGGCAGGAGGATCGCTGGAGGCCAGGAGTTCGAGAACTGCCTGGGCAACATAGCAAGACCCTGTCTATATAAAAAAACATCACTGAGTGCCAACATTTCTTTTATTAACATACCTTTCTTATGTTTAGCTTACAACAGTTAACTTTCAGCAATTAGAAATGAAAAATATGTTCTGAATGTTAGAATATCCACATCCTAATTAAAACCACCACTAATTAATAGATGTACCGACCACTGGTTGAAACCTGAAAAATGAAGTTTACTGATGGTGGACATGAATCAGAACATAAATGATCACATAGATTCCACCCAACTCTTCCCGTTTTGGAATAAAAACATAGAATGAAAAGGAGAAGGGGGAAATTTGCAAGTCAATAGCTAATTCTGATTTGCCACTAAATCGTTTTTTTCTCATCTAGAAGGTTTGTTCTAAGACACTGTGGGAGGAGGAAGTAGTTGCATGAATCATGCTACCACTTGTCTCAAAAAAAAAAAAAAAAGAGAGGGGAAAAAGTGAAAAATAATTTAATTTAAGGAGAAAAAGGGAAGCAGTGCCTTGAATCTACACATGTCCACCAGAAATCATGACAGAGTTTGCAAGCTAAGCTTGTTCAGGATACCTACACTGGAGGAAACTCCCTTCTGATCCTCCCCCAAGGAAACTTTTATGGCCTTTCCTCCCCAACTGCAAAGTGTAGTCAAATTTTGGATACTCAGAACTCTTGTGCAACTAGCTTTTTCTGAGGGCTAATTTGTATTTTCATAGCTAAGGGTCCATGCCTTTAAGCACAAAAATATGAACACATTCTAGCTGATTTAGTCAGAAATCAATTTTAAAAATGTCTCGACAGCCTCTTGTTCAGACTACATTGAGCAGAGTCTACCTTTTTCATAATGATTAAGGATTATACCTGGAGAGACCAGTCCTGGCAGGTTGCCATCCCAACAGTCATTTTAGTTAGGAGCTGAGAAAGTGCATTTGAAATTTTAGAGATGATCTTCTTGTCCCTAAGCTAAAACTGAATGGTGTTAAGTAGATGTGTCACTTTTTTTTTTTTTGAGAAAAAGTGTTTTTTGTTTAAGTTATCCATATCTGATGTCTTGAATTGTTAGCAATGTTTTCACATGTGTCTTTTTTTGCAGCTGGATTGGAAGCTTAAAGGCAGGGACTCGGCACTGTGTTTCTGGGTAGTACTCATAGCTCATTTTCTTATAAAGAACAGGCACCTATCACATATTTGTTAATTAGAATAATGTTAATAAGAGTGAGGTGTCTGGGCCACCCGGAAAGGCTTTTAAACCCTTGTGATAGAAAGGAGGGAGAGGAAATAGAACAAGCAGTAGAATGGATTTCCCACACTGAAGACTATTCAGGGCCAGCTTGAGAACACACAAAGCTGGAAGTATACTAAAGGTCAGTTTTCAGGCCAAGTGTGATGGCTCACACCTATAATACTAGCACTCTGGGAGGTTGAGGAGGGAGGATCGCTTGAGCTCAGGAGTTCAAGACCAGCCTGAGCAACAGGGAGACCCCATTTCTACCAGATATAGAAAAATTAGCTGGGTATGGTGGCACGTGCCTGTAGTCCCAGCTACTCGGGAGGCTGAGGCAGGAGGATCACTTGAGCCCAGGAGTTTGAGGTTGTTGTGAGCTAGGCTGACGCCACAGCACTCTAGCCCAGGAAACAGAGTGAGACTCTGTCTTAAAAAAAATCAGTTTTCAGAGACAGGAATAGTTAATATTATAGATAAAGATGCCAATTCCATCTAGATAGACTTGCAGACTATAGATTGGATACAACTGACAATAAAATTCCCCAATGAGATGTTCATGGGCCTTGACAAATGGATTTGAAAATTAAAATGGGGAGGTATAGCCAGGAATATTCAAGTCATTTCTGAATAAGAAGAATAAGGAAGAAATACTTACCCTACCAGATATCAGATCTTATCATGAAACTGAAGACCTTAAGAAAGTGTAGTGTTGAGACAGAGACAGACAAACTGACCGATGGAATGGAAGGCCATGAAATAGGTCCAATATGGAAAGTTGATACATGACAGAAGTGGATGGAAGATCAAAGGAAAATAAATGGAGAAGAAATTAAATAATTATCCAATGGTGGTGAGGGAGCATGAAATAGGATCTCGACCTTACTTCATGCACAAAATGAAATTGAAAGTGGTTTAAGAACTTAAGTGCCAAAAAGAAATCCTTAAGCTTTTAGTAGAAAATATTGGTTGATACCTTTATGTTCATAGAGTAAGGAAAGATTTCTTAAAGACTTTGAAAGACTGAAAGTTTAACTGAATTAAGAAGTATGTTCATCAGTGGGGGCTTTCAAGCAGCAAAAGGATCTGATAGTAACTATTTTAGCCACATGGTCTCCATCTCATATTCTCTGTTGTAGTGGCTTTGTTTTTACAACTGTTTAGAAGCATAAAAACCATTCTTAGGTCAAGGCCATGTAATAACAGGCCATGGGTTGGATTTGACCAGCTAGTTGTAGTTTGTAGACTTCTGCTTTAAAGGTGAAAAGATAAGCTACTAACTAGGGGAAGATATTTTGGACACACTTAGCAGTCAAAAGATTAGTTCATATCAAGAACATAAAAGGTTCTATGAATTCCTAAGAAAATAACAACTCAGAGGAAAATAAATAAAAATCCTGAACCTGCATTTCACAGGAGAGAAAGACATTCGTCCAGCAAATACCTGAAAAAAATACCTTCCTCAATAGCAATCAATATTTCAGGCTCTGCAGGCCATATATTCCTTGTCACAATTAGATATAATTTTACACTTACTTGATTGTCAAAAATGAATGCATCAGATACCCAGGGCTGGAGAAGATCTTAGTCAATCAGAGCTCTTATCTCTTGCTGGAGAGGAGGTACATTGGATCAACCACTTGGAAAACAATTTGGCATTATGCTATGAAATTGAACGTTCAGGGCTGGGCATAGTGGCTCACACCTGTAATCCTAACTCTCTGGGAGGCCAAGGTGGGTGGATTGCTCAAGGTCAGGAGTTCGAGACCAGCCCGAGCAAGAGCAAGACCCTGTCTCTACTAAAAATAGGAAGAAATTAACTGACCAACTAAAAATATATAGAAAATATTAGCCGGGCATGGTGGCGCATGCCTGTAGTCCCAGCTACTTGGGAGGCTGAGGCAGGAGGATTGCCTAAGCCCAGGAGTTTGAGGTTGCTCTGAGCTAGGCTGACACCACGGCACTTGTAGCCCAGGCAATGGAGTGAGACTCTGTCTCAAAAAAAAAAAAAAAAAAAAAAAAATTGAACGTTCACATATTCAAGAACTCAGGCTTTCCATTATCAGGCATAACAGTCAAGAGAAACTTGTGTAAGTCAGAGGATGTTTACAAGAATATCCATAGCAGCATTGCTTGTAATCATTTAGAAAATGGAAACCTTGAAAAAGTATTAGTTTCCTATGGCTGATATAACAAATTGCCACAAACTTGATGGCTGAAAACAACACAAATTTATTATTCTACGGTTTTAGAAATCAGAAGTCCAAAGGGAACCTCACTGGGCTAATCTCGAGGTGTTGGCAGAGCTGCGTCAGGGGCTCCAGGGAGAATCTGTTTCCTTTCCTTTTCCA